AGACTAATTAATAAAATCTTCTAATACAACACTCTGAATGACCGGAAAGTTAGCCATCCTCAAAATATTTGTTACAAGGCATGTTGAATAGTCAGAAAGTCAGCCATCCTCAAAATATTTGTTACAAGGCACTTTGAATAGTCACAATGTCAGCCATCCTCAAAATATTTGTTACAGAGCACTCTGAATGCCTAGAAAGTCAGCCATCTTCAAGTTATTTTGTTACAAAGCACTTTGAATAGTCACAAAATCAGCCATCCTCAAAATATTTGTTACAGAGCACTCTGAATGGCTAGAAAGTCAGCCATCTTCAAGTTATTTGTTACAAAGACTTTGAATAGTCAGAAAGTCAGCCATCCTCAAAATATTTGTTACAGAGCACTCTGAATGGCTAGAAAGTCAGCCATCTTCAAGTTATTTTGTTACAAAGCACTTTGAATAGTCAGAAAGTCAGCCATCCTCAAAATATTTGTTACAGAGCACTCGAATGGCTAGAAAGTCAGCCATCGTCACGTTAATTTGTTACAAAGCACTTTGAATGACCAGAAATGATACACCTTTACTTAACTTTGTGATAAGGCACTTTGAATGGTTAGAAAGTCAGCATTCCTAACAAAACTATTTGAAAAAGTATTTTTAATGGTCAGAAAGTCAACCATTCATCCTCACAGTCAAGTAAATACGTACAAACTTTGTTAGATGTATATTCGATCTTATCCAATGACACGTCAGGCGAAAATACTGAAATACTCAAAGTATTTTCAGAATAGTAGTATCTATAATTAAAAACTATCATACCTATCTTACTTGTGCACAAACCTTTTTTTTCCAAATATTATATATATTTTTTTCTATCTTATTGAGTAACTAAATATATTGGTTAAGAATGCACAGTTTACTAGACTGTTCTTACCTGTAGATCACAAGTCCAGCGCTCACAACAATAAGGATGATGACCAGAGCGATAATCATGATGTAGCCATACACTGGAAATGGCTCTGAAAATTGTTTATTAAAACATTACACATAGGGCGTTTTTGTACTTTTTGTAAATTAAATATATCAACACTATATGTATAATGAGTATAAATAACCAGAAAATGAACCACAGTTATGAAAGGGATATGTTAATTCCGTACATATATATATATATATAGAGTGGGTCACTAATCATACGTTATCCTTAACTAAAAGGCATCTTACAAAGTTCAAAGTTCACATGGACCACACTTTACACTAAGCTAAAAGGCATCTTACATAACTCACTAGGGACCACATGGTACCCTGAAATTAAAGATATCTCACAACATTCACTAGGGTCATACGCTATCCTCAACTAAAAGACATCTTACATAACTCACTAGGGACCACATGTTATCCTGAACTAAAAGATATCTCACAACATTCACTAGGGTCATACGCTATCCTCAACTAAAAGACATCTTACATAACTCACTAGGGACCACATGTTATTCTTAACTAAAAGATATCTCACAACATTCACTAGGGATCACACGTTACCCCCAACTAAAAGACGTCTTACATATCTCACTAGGGACCACATGTTATCCTGAACTAAAAGATATCTTACAAAACTCAATTGCGATATTTCATTTCGTGAACAATATGAGATACCATCTCTAAATCTACATTATAAAACGCCCTAAAATAACTGGAGTATTTCACAGTAGTTTTTTGAGAACACTATGATATATCATTTATCAATCTGGATTAAAAGATATCTCAAAATAACTCCACTGTTCCACAATCCCTTGGAAACAGCACGAGGAATGTACTATAACTATGTTATATTGCTGTAATGATTTATATTGTTTCTTATACATCTTAGTAATGAAAACACCAACATACAGTTGTTTCATACCTTCTTGCTTACATTGAGCTGAATCCCCTGTAAACCCACAACGTGGAACGTCTGGAGGAGGGCCAGTCCAACCACCTGGCCAATGGATCTTTACTCCTGGAATTTTCTCAAACATTTGTTTGGCACCGAAGTATGTAGCAACGGGCTAGAAGAAGGAGACATGAATCATGTCATGTACACAGAATTTTACTAGAGAAAATATAAAACATGTTTCTTTAAGTACTAACTTCCAAGATCGGGTGAGTGTGTTGAAGTATCCCTCCAACTCACGAGCGTGTTTTGGATCAACTAATAGTTCACCGTTTGTCTATAATATTAGGATTCGTCTGGTGATGAAAACAACACTAAATAAGTATTATTTTATGTTGAAATATGTTTAAATAATGAAAACGAAGAACAAAGAATCAAAGTTCAAGCGTTCATATATATATTTCTATATCAAGCATACACGAACGCACAGGCAGCGACTTTCGCAAAGTTTATTTATGCATATACTGTACTTTCATTTATAAGGAAATATATGTAAAGACAAGTCGAAAATTAAATTTTCATACACCTATGTTTGGCATCTGAATCTTTCCGGTTCAGAGGTTTTACGTTAGAGAATATGCCCAATTACTTCAATTAACTTACTTAAGGTGGTCTTTGGAATAGCCAGGAACCAGTGATTTTGAACGAACATAGCTTGCTAAACCAGTGAACGTATTTAAGTGTAAAAGAACTAAGCCTAAGTTCCTATGCCTATACTCAATGTTTTATATGTGGTACCAGAAATGAAATAAACACCAAGAAAGTGACCAGGTATGTGGCTATTAAAAGATTTGACACCATTGCTACCGTCATTTCCTTCTGATTTTATAAAATAGGAACACTATTTTTTACTCTCATCTCCCCAGTCGAAGGGTCAAGGTCATTCAACGTGTAGTCAGCTTCTCGGTCACCGTTTGAGTTAATGTAGATGTCCCCTGTCAGACCTGTATGTGGGGATAATAACTGTATCACAAAGTGTATCTGCTAGGCATTTTCTTTTACAATCAAAGCTTAAAGCTGTTATTTTCTATAAACACGTGATTATATTTTATAATAACATTATATTAAACACCAACTGGGCCGTTAAACTTATAAACATATAGAAACCCAATCATATATTTTTTGTACATACAAAAGGGATTGTGGAGGTTTTAGATGATGTTAAAGGGCAGTTATATTACTTAGAGTTTCGTAACACATATGCTTTTTTTATAATCTATATGTTTATTTATCCATATTTATATAATTCAACACAATAGATGCATCTCAGTTTGATTTAACAAATCTGGTACGAGGTTCGATCCTCTACCAACGTCTTGAACCAACTGCAAACCACACTCTTCAATAAATGGGCTATAATCGAACAAAAACTTCCCGCCATCTTATTAGGTCTAAACCGCGCTGAATCCAGGCTGTTTGATGTTTGGTGTCAAATTTGTAAAATCTGGTTTGGTTGTTTTGATAAAAAGTATCTTACAAAGCTAAAATTCGGGATTCGATTTCCCGCGGTGGACACAGCAGATAACTTAATGTAACATAAACAAACAAACAAACTATGTAGATGAGAACCGAGAAACTTACTACTAACTAAACTCTAGTCTATAGTTGATAATTAATATATAAACACCGTCATTAAAACTTTATCACGTATACTGATACTGGTTTACGTGTGATCACGAAAAAAGTCCCGTATCTTAATTTAGATAAAGAAGTTATCTATAATTTTTGTTACCATCTTTGAATGTGTTGTTCCACATTCTTCTTATCAGATTATATCCATCACGTGGGTCTCCTCCCTCCTCCAAAGTCTTGTTTAGAGCAGCGGCGTACATCAGTACACAGTCGTGGAATCCTGCAACAATGACATTCACCTATACAAACAAACAAAAAAAAAGCTTTATTAGGCATCACAGCAATGATACTCACCTAACGAAAAATAGAAAAACATAACATTATTAGGCACGGCAGCAACGACCTTCAAATAACAAAAAACAATAACATTCTGAGGCACGGCAGCAACGACCTTCACATAACAAAAGACAATAACATTATTAGGCACGGCAGCAACGACCTTCACATAACAAAAAACAATAACATTATTAGGCACGGCAGCAACGACCTTCACATAACAAAAAACAATAACATTATTAGGCACAACAACACTATGACATTCACTTAACCAATAAAGAAAAATATAACATTATTAGGCACAACAATAGTGATATTTACCTAACCAATAAAGAAAAAAATAACATTATTAGGCACAACAATAATGATATTTACCTAACTAATAAAGAAAAATAACATTATTAGGCACAACAATAATGATATTTACCTAACCATTAAAGAAAAAATAACATTATTAGGCACAACAACACTATGATATTTACCTAACCAATAAAGAAAAAATAACATTATTAGGCACAACAATAATGATATTTACCTAACCAATAAAGAAAAAATAACATTATCAGGTACGATAACAATGACATTTCCCAACCAAAAAAATACATTATTTGTCATAACAGATAATACGCAATGAAATATCAGTGAAATAAGCGATAAAACATTCACGCTCTCATTATTTTTGCAATTTTGAAATAGTAATTTTACGGTGATTTTGACTGAAATATCAGCTTCAGCAAGCGGTGACGTCATTCAAGTAGGTCTTTGAACCCTCCATTGTGTTTTTTTTTTTTAAATTTCGCGCAAAGCTCCACGAAGACTATCTGCGCTAGCCGTCCCTAATTTAGCAGTGAAAGACTAAAGGGAAGTCAGCTAGTCAACACTACCCACCGTCAACTCTTTGGCTACTCTTTTATAAACAAACAGTGGGATTCACCGTCACATTATAACGCCCCCACGTTTGAAAGGGCGAGCATGTTCTGCGACGGAGATTCGAGCCCGCGAACCGCATATTGCGAGTCGAGCACCCTAAACATGCATGATTGTCAGTTAATCATGTTAAGGAGTTGGACTAAAATGCATCCATATTAGGCAAGAAATGTGATCAAATGGAAAAGCTATGGGTATTTAGTGTTTGTTTGTTAGTTTAAATTCGAGTAAAGCTACTCGAGGACCGTCCGTTCCTTCCATTCATAATTTTTGATGTGACAGACTAGATGGAAGGTAGCTAATCAAAACAGCCTACTGCCAATCGTGGGCTAACTCATGACCAACTAATATTGGGAATGGCCCTCAGAATATACTCCACCCCCATGGCTGAAAGGGCGAGCATGTTGGGTACGTAATGTACCAATATTGATGATCAAAAGTTTAATATAATTCTTATGTAAGGTATACGTTTAATGTGTCTAAAATTATTATCTATTCTCGAGGAGTAAAAACAGGTTCTATATCACTTTACTCTGGAAAATATAAAAAATTCTATCTATCATTACTCAACATATACAATGAAAAGATGTAGCACCATATTAAAACCAATGTATTTCAGTTAATCAAATCTATTCTTTTATCATACATTTCATTACAATGGTTTCTTGTGTTTTACTGTTGTGTTAGTGCGCACGGATTGTATGGTGATCTGTCATGGGATATATATGGCCATCTGCGCACTGGTTATATGGTAGTCTGCACTTGAATTGTATAAATGTCTGCGCACTGGTTGTATAGTGATCTGTCATGGGGTATATATGGCGATCTGCGCACTGGTTATATGGTAGTCTGCACTTGAATTGTATAAATGTCTGCGCACCGGTTGTATAGTGATCTGTCATGGGATATATATGGCGATCTGAGCACTGGTTACACGGTAGTCTGCACGTGAATTGTATAAATGTCTGCGCACTGGTTGTATAGTGATCTGTCATGGGATATATATGGCGATCTGAGCACTGGTTATACGGAAGTCTGCACTTGAATTGTATAAATGTCTGCGGCACGGGTTGTATAGGGGTCTGCAACTAGGGTTGTATGGTGATATGCATCTGGGTTGTGTAGTAATCTGCGTATGGGTTGCACGATAATGATCATTTTTACTGCTTCTTATGTGCACGTGATGATCCTTTGTGTATATTGGAAGAAATGGTAGTGTCGAGTAGGATGTCCATTCCTGATGAGGTAGGAGTGGATTCTGCCGTATTTCCAACATTGTTTTACTTCTGTACAAATATTCTATTATTTTGTCTTTACATTGGTAACATAAACCAATCATATTAGCCGTGACTTCATTATAGACTAGACTTTGTTTACTCACAAAGTTTTAAAGATAGAGATTAAGAAATGCATTTGATACGATTTGTTTTAATAAAGTAAAATTTGTTTTTGATAGACATAGAGCCACACAGTCCATTAAGTATTTATGTACTCATGGTACGGTTGTAGCTGTCGGATATCAATCGTTTTTATAGTTAGTAGTCTATACGATCATTTCTTCATCAATATCTGCACAGACTTGCACTCTAGACCTTCTATGAAGGAGATCCATAATCGAATCCTGATCAGTACCACCATGAAATATAGTCCTTTTCAGGACTTTGTTGAAAACGGCAGAAGTGATATACAGTATCTAAAAAGTAATAACTGATTAAAAACTAGAGTTAGGCGATCAAGTTGGCTACTAATAATGAGAAGATTAATATTTGGTCATCTGACCTTTACAGTAAGTACGGGGTTGAGAACGTATGGTCATTTGACCTTTACAGTAAGTACGGGGTTGAGAACGTAATGCAAAGTGTGAAAATAACGGTTTCTCTACTGACGAGAAATATTCACCGGACAATACTGTTTAACATTAATGTGTAAAAACTACAACTTACCAAACTTTCGTCCACTGGTTTGTTAAATTCTGCCTTAGATGTCTCTATAACGTCTTGGACAAACTGTGTGTATTTTTTCCCCGTCGGTACTCGAACCGTCACAAGTAGAAGAGATTCATACATCTTTCGGGCTTCCTATAAACAATCAATAGCGAGATTCATGAGGAAAAACGTTAAGTTATAACTTCTTAGCGAACATCAGTTACATGTTGCCTGCTGGGTTTGAAATCTTCTGTTTCAGGAGTGTGTAGCGGATACGCACCACGTATTGGTGTTTTGACTAAAATTAAACATTTTGTAAAGATCAAATTAGTTTTGCAAAACTCTCGACAAATACTGCATCTTGTAGGAATAATTTGAACACAGTGTTTTTGCCCCAGTTTGCCCCTGAAGAAGAAAGATCCACCTTTCGAAAGCACTCGGGTTATAGGGTTTTTATTCATTTTTATCAAGACTTCTTGAACCTACGTGTTTTTCTAACATCATGATTGAACACATAGTATATATTATGATAGCAATATTCCACGTACACATTGCCTATGAAAGCTCCTGTAGAGAATTAAATATACGAAGAAATATATTTAAAGCAAACTAAAATTTTAGTTGTGTTCATAAAGACGTAAACATTGATTGAACATAAACGAATTGAACAGAAAGCTACTGTACTTTTTATGTAAAATAAAAATTCCTACTTAAATTCAGACTGCTATCACAAGTACATCATGTAAGAACAACTTACTATAAGCCAGAAGGACAGCACAAACAAACAACAACAAACAAACATTCTTAATAAGTGTTGAAATTATATACAGATAACTACAAAGTACGAACATGTTAAATGAATCATTTGAACAAGACTAGTAGGCAACTTTAACAGGTTATGCACAATACCCCCAAAAAAACAACAACAAAATTTCCACATTTAGTCTTGAACATGACGACTAGGTAACTTTAACAGGTTATGCACGATACCGCCGCAATAAACAAATTTTCCACATTTAGTCTTGAACATGACTACTAGGTAACTTTAACAGGTTATGCACGATATCGCCGCAATAAACAGATTTTCCACATTTAGTCTTGAACATGACTAGTAGGTAACTTTAACGGGTCATAAACGATACCACAATATAATAAAATTCACGATTATTCCCTAAAAGAGGTTAATTTGATTAGACAACAAGAAAACGTCAAACAAACAAATTCATTCAATAAAAATGTGAATTTATGAGACTAGGAAAAAGGCTCTTTTTTTTTAAAGAGTCGTTGATTTAAGTGGATGCACTACCTGGTAGAATTAGCCTAATTATTGCTTATCTGTTAATAAGGATTCGCACATTGTTCCGTGGGTCGTCTTTCTTGTACCACGTGAATTCTCCAAAGGCTTTCTTGTTGTTGAACAGCTCAACACTCAAAAATGCATACTCCCCATTCCCCATTCCCAAATCATAGGCTGCCAACAAGATCTCTCGGACTGTCTCTCCAGTTCCAATAATGATGAAAACTTGAAAAGAAAAATGCATAGTTCAAATTTCCAAAATTTTGTTATATTTTACAAAGTTTCACTATCGTTAGAAAAACTATATTTTATCCGCAAAATAAATTTGTTTATGAAAAAAATAATCTTTCGGAAATGACTGACTTTTTTTTTTGAGATCGGATGACAGTATATTTCGGTAAGTTCCACCTTACTTTCATTTCGTTTACTGTCTAAAGTTCAAGTTGTAACTCTAACCTTTTTATTGAATATACAATCTGTAACTACAAAATCTCAAAAATTGACAAATTAATTGGTTCAAAAATATATCTAAGATAGAACATAAACCTTCTCTTTAGACAATTGTGTTACTGTATATTAATAGTAAAAAAATAATAATAATAAAACCGACTTTTTGGCACTACGAAAAATAAAACAGCTCAAATGACCTTCATCGACAACTCAAGAGCTCCATAAGGGCTGTTTGACCGAAACGTTTACTACCCTTTCTCTCATATAGCTGACCCAAAAAAACCCGTTATAATCACTTCTAAACCTCTATAAGGATTGTTTGACCGAAAAGTTGGTTACTTTTTCTCTCACGTATTTAGGTTTGGTTTGTTTTGAACTTCGCGCAAAGCTACACGTTGGCTATCTATATGTGCTAGCCGTCCTAATTTAGCAGTGAAAGACTAGAGGGAAGGCAGCTAGTCATCACCACCCACCGCCAACTCTTCGACTACTTTTTTTGCCAACGAATAATGGGATTGACCGTAACATCATAACGCCCCCGCGGCTGAAAGGACGAACATGTTTGGTGGGACGGGGATTCGAACCCGTGACCGTGATACTACGATCAAGCGCCCTAACCACCTGGCCATGCTGGGCCAACATATTTAGGCCAAACGACCTTCATCGGCAACTTCAGACCTCTATAAGGATTGGTTGACCGCAAAGTTGGCTACTTTTTCTCTTGTACAGATATTTAAAATTGTTTTGTATTTTTCAGTACATTGCATATATACAATTTGTAAGCAGAAAAAACAAGCAATTACCTAATTACATCTTGCTATCCTCTGTATCTCAGATTAAAACTTTTAAACTCAGTTAACTCTAGTCAGTCTAAACTCCAGACAAACTTTACTCGTCTGCTGTGGGATTTGGACAAGTCTGCGAGAAGTAAGATATGGTTTGTAATGTTGTGAGAGATAGAGGGTGAGATATTTATACGAGATTTTATAACAAATTACAGAGAATTTCAACGACTGAAAATATGTTCGAACTTCGTGATCAACTTCCTTCAAGAAGCTCTCCATGCTCTCCTGTATTAACGCGCCCCACCTGTCGGTGTCGTCGTACAACACAGCGATTCGATGCCAGTCAAAGACGTGAAAGTATATCATGACAAAGTGGACGAGACGTGATAAAATTATGCCGTTTCTCAGAAGTGTAGAAAATAATCTTTTGTCCAGGAATTCGACGTCCATTCCTCCCGCAGTGCATATCGGCGTATTCCACGAGGCGGCCATTTTTGCCACAGGTTCCAATTCAGGTGAAGCACTAGGCCCAACGAAACAACTAACTTGCTGACTGCAGTGTTCTTTGGCTGCCAGAACCACTGCATGGGCGTTAATGCTTCTTGAAGAGCTGTTGTATGAAGTTATTCGAAATCGTAAAGCAGGATACATGGTTTGCGCTTTCTTAACAGCGACGTCTACCGCTGACTTCACAACATGATATTCATATTGTAGTTCTCCGTCCATTTCGGTAAAGATCCCCACAAATGTATACACCCTCTTGCTTTGGGCAATTTCTTCCAGCTTTGGGGCCATCGTTTGTTCACTTCCAGACAGAGAACACGAAGCCAGGAAAATAATAAATGGACAGTACGGTTCAAACATTTTCATGGTATATTGTGTTTTTGGTCACATATGGAAAAATGACCATCCAGCTATCTTAGCCTCACATAAATAAAGATCTTTTCTTTGGAATTACCATGACATTCGTCTTTTCGTTAAGTGGTTTTCACTCTGTCTTTATATAACCTTCCGGTTTCTTCGTATTAAACCTTGACTTACACTATTTAGAATATATCACGCTAAGATAAAATAATAATAATAATAATGAGTAAAGCAAAATGTTCCTGAAATAGAATTATGGTAATTTTCAGTACTAATACCGTCAGGGTTTGTAGACGTTTTCACAGTAGTTTCTACAAGTATATATTTTCACAAATCTTGTAGGTGGAAATAAATCTATAAAGTTTAATTCAAGTAATCTCTTCAGGCATATTTGAAACAATGAGACTGTAATGCTATACTAAAGCGTTATTCAATTTGAATCAAAGGGACGACTATTTTTGTCTTTGAGTTTAGAAGATACGGCAGTAATATACTATAATTTTTCTAATGCATGATATTGTTTCTACAAAATCAAAATACATAATGCGACGTCGTTCATATTCCAAGAAATAGACTTTTTTTAAACCAACTAGATTATTATATAGTTACAGGGCGACTAGATTATTATATAGTTACAAGGCGACAGAGACTTCCATATTAAATATCCAGTTTTATTAAAGTTTAAGAGAGAACAAAATGAAAATGTTTAACTTATTAGGAATCAAAAAATAACGAAGAACCTGAATTAGCGAATCATCGATACAGCAAAACTGTAAGATTGAGTTACGATGCCTGAAATTTAATTGTTTCATAATATGTCTAAAGTACGTCGAACTACCAGATGTTTACTTTTGAATATAGAAAAGATATTTCTGTTCGGTTGATCATATTTTCGACATATATTATTACCAAAAACTTAATAAGCTTACAAATGTAATTCTGAATTATACTTTATAATAGCCAAAGGGAACGCAGCCAGCTGGCATCACCTACCACCCACAATCCATAATAATGGATTGACTGTCACTCTTTAACTCACCCACATTTTAAGATGCTTGGAATATTTTGTGGTATCGCCCATATTCGAACCCTGCTCACCAGCTTCGTAATCCAGAGCTCTACCATAGGACCAGTCCACGCCCCTTAAACTTTATTAGTTATATCATCCAGCTCTGGCGCCTCCCCGTGGCACAGCGGTATGTCTGTGGACTTACAACGCTAGAAACCGGGGTTCGATACCCGTGGTGGGCAGAGCACAGATAGCCCATTGTGTAGCTTTGTGCTTAACTTCAAACAAACAATTTTGAATTATTGACCAGAGAGAGAAGGCACTCAGCCGGCATCACCCTACCACCCACCATCCATCCTAAGGGATTGCCATCACTCTTATAATGCAACTACAGGTTGAAATACTGGGAATATTTTGTGGTATCGCACGTATTCGAACCCTGTTCGCCAACTCGCGAACCCTAAACTTTATTAGTTATATCGTTATTATTACCGTTGAGCAACTGGTGGCGGCGGGGGTTTATGTTAGGAAGATGTTAAAGCATCATCAATAACAACACACTCTTAGGTATGCAGGCTACTATAATTAAAAGAGGAAACATTTACGTGAATTAAAATCTAGGTTTCGATGTAAATATTAGGAACATTAGAAACAAAGAAGTAGAGGTTATTTATAATCATGTTTTTTACAAATCAGTTCATTCCATGTATTCAAACGGAGAACGTTGTTTGTTGAAATGTAAAAATCTAAATAAATATAATGGATGGATTTTCAACAAAATGTGTTTGTTTGTTTGTTTGGTTATGAATTTCGCGCAAAGCTACACGAGGGCTATCTGCGCTAGCCGTCCCTAATTTAGCAGTGTAAGAGTAGAGGGAAGGCAGCTAGTCATCACCACCCACCGCCAACTCTTGGGCTACTCTTTTAACAACGAATAGTGGGATTGACCGTCACATTATAACGCCCCCACGGCTAAAAGGGCGAGCATGTTTGTTGTGACGGGGATTCGAACCCGCGACCCGCAGATTGCGAGTCGAGCGCTCTAACCACTAGGTCATACCGGGCCACCAAAACTGGTATGGAGGTTCATTAAGTCCATGCGGGGGGTACATATATTTTGCGTTTTGCTGTTTATTGGGCGTTTTTGCGTTTTTTACTACTACTTCGCCCCCTCTAAATATATATTCACCAAATTTGGTATGGAGGTTCATTGGGTCCATGGAAAGATACATACAAATTTTCAGTTTTGCGTTTTGCGGCTTTTATGGGCGTTCTTTCGTTTTCGCGTTTTTTACCACCATTTTGACCCCTGTTGATAAATCCTCACCAGATTTGGCATGAAGATTTGTTGGATCCATGCGAGGATACATACAAATTTGCAGTTGTTTCACATTTTGCGTTTTGCAGTTTTTATGGGCGTTTTTGCGTTTTTTTACAATTACATATAAGGGATGCAACATTTCGCGTTGTAAGATAACCTTTCATTAATCATGAATTTACATAACTTCCGTCCAGGAGACGGGTACTTGAGCTAGAAGCGAATATTTGAACAAATAAATTAACTTACTCCGAGCATTGTAGGTGAGGTCAAAGAGAAGACTGGTGAAATTAGGTTTAAGCACAGAGTCTGTGGAGAAGGAACTGAAATACGTTCTAACTTCGTGATCCACTTCGGTCAAAAATCGTTCCATGCTTTCACGGATCAACTGACTCCAAACTGGTGTATCATCGGACAGTACAGCAATTCGATGCCAGTCCAGATAGTGAAAATACTGCATTATAAATCTACATACTGTAGAGAGTTCTAGGCCGTTTCTTAAAAGCGTTGAAAAATGATTTTTTGAAACGAACGATACGGATATTCCTCCAGCTGTAAGAATTGGTAGATTCCAAGCATCAGCCATCCTAGCAACGGGACCAAGTTCTTGGGTAGCACTGGGTCCTATAAATCCACTTATATTGTGAAGAAAATACTCATTTGCTGCTATAACCGTTGTATAGTTCCTGTTGTCCGTCTTTGAACTCTTATAAGAGGCCAACTCAAAACGTACGTCTGGATAGAGCCGGTTTGATTTACGAATAGCTAATTCTACTGCAGATTTCATGACACTGTATTTGTATGGAACTTCGCTATCAAAGTCAGTGAAAATTCCCACAAGTCTCGAAACAAACTGTTTCGGAACAGTTTGGCCAAATTTGAATAGAACAACAACGAAAAATGTCATTAAGGCGTTTATTTTGTAAAGATTCATCTTTGAGAAAGAGGATAAATTGGACTGATCACAGTGAATTATAAAACTAAGATTACGAAGGAGTTGAGGTGGTGAAGGATTTGCATTACTCAGAAAGATGTCTCGCCGTCTAGCGGTGTATACCAGCAACACCTTATTTATAGTTGCCTGAAAAAAGAATTCTTTCTCACCTAAATTGATAAGTAGGTTGTTAGAAACGCATTTCAATATGGATGAAATTGGATATCTTTGAGCGATTTCGAGTTTTAAAATGACCTAGTTATATGGGAATTACGTTTCTGAAACATCTAATTTCTCTGAATGTCTCGAATAATAATGATATTTGAAATCATATTAATAAATGTAATGCAGTCTTGTTTTTGGAACTTGATTTGAAATGACTCTCTAGAAAGGAATCCCAAAATAACCGCGACGACAAATCATCGTGCCTTGATAGTCATGTTTGAAAATACACAGTTAGTGCTTTTGTCTTGTATAGCAATAATATATCGTAATAGTCTAAAAACGTTTTTGACATTTTTTAAAACTGTATCTCCAAGAAACTAGGTATTAACTAAATTACATTTCGTGGATATGAAAAAAAAAGAAAACTTCGTCTCCAAAGTGGTATGAAGAAAGTGTTGTCTTAAACTTTCATTGTTAATCACAATAATAACTTATCACACTCTTTGTTGAACGTAGGTCTATTTCGGTTGTTGTTACTTACAAAGCTACGTGATATGCCATCTTTGCTCGGTCAAGTTTGTTTGTTTTTGAATTTCGCGCAAAGCTACACGAAGGCTATCTGCGCTAGCCGTCCCTAATTTAGCAGTGTAAGACTAGAGGGAAGGCAGCTAGTCTCTTGGGCTACTCTTTTACCAACGAATAGTGGGATTGACCGTCACATTATAACGCCCCCACGGCTGAAAGGGCGAGCATGTTTGGTGTGACAGGGATTCAAACCCGCGACCCTCAGATTGCGAGTCGAGTGCCTTAACCATCTGGCCATGTGCTCGGTCAAGCACAGATAAACAAAACAAAGCTATTGGGGGGGGGAGCATAGAAGGAAAATTTTCTCCAAACTGATTATTGTATAAAAAAATTGTTGTCTTAAACCTTCAGTGATGACAAGAATAACGGTTTCTTATACACTGGTTGTTGAAGGAAAAAATGGTAAATTTTAGTGATTATAAACAGCATTGGCCGATACATATTTTTTTTGCCAGGAAAAAAATAAACGAAAATGGTTTGTTAAACAGTGAGATGAAAATGATCTAAGAAACGTTTCATTTTTTGTCTTTTTGAAGTATCGGTAAGTTGGGACTACTTTGAATAAAAAGTGCAAAAAAAAAAAGTTAGAAAATTTGGGCATAAAACTACTAGTCTTGAAACATCTATATTCGCCATTATTGAAAAATAATGTATGAATGGAAAAGACCACAGTTATTAGTTAATTATTTCTAATGATTTAAACATTCTGCTTAGTATTTGCTTGCAATGAGTGATAAACCGATTGACTTATCTAATAATAGACATCAGATCTAACGCCGGGTGACGGTACCGGTACTCTAAGTGTATATAAACAAATGAAGAAATTAACACTCAAATCGTGACACATAAACACTGCTGTCTGAGATGGGGCTCTGAGGGATGACAGGTCCATTCCCCAAATGTCTTCCCCTTTGCAATGC